CACACACACACACACACACACACACACACTCACTGTTCACTATAGAGTCCTCTCTGTAATATCTGGTGAAGGTTGGGTCCGACTGTCAGAGACCTCCTATCACTGGCTGTAGATGGAATGAGTATGTGGTCTTCAATTTTGTGGGGTCAGTGGCTGAACTGAAACTTCAAAATTATGTTTTGTGGTGTTGAAAAGTGTGAACTAAATGGAGTTATATTCCAAGGGCTAACCTCACAGCCGTGTCTGCAAGTCATTTCCTGCCCGCTAGGGCATGCAGGAAGCTTGTCTGTCTCTACAGTTCAGGCCTAAGGGTGACTAGAAGGAAATTTTACAAAGAGTAACTGGCCCAGTGCAGCGAGCATTGCACTTCCATGAACTAATTTCACCCTCCTAACACCTCATAGTGTAAACAAATACAGAGAACAGTTCAATAAATTGCTTGCTTTGTGGCTTTGGAGAAAATAAGAATTCCTCTGTCCTCCATGTTATCTATGAAATGAAAGTGAGATCTTAGCTCCAGAGCTGATGGAGATAAATGTCTGATAAGGTGGCTGAGCCAAATCTATCTTCCCTCTCTCCAGCTCACCTGGACCCTTCCCCTCACCAGACCACAAGGGGGTGCACGAACCTTGGTCAGGTCTCTGCCATCTCACAACCCCTCACTCACGCATGTCCCCTCTTCCCACCCAGCATCCCCTCACTGCCAACTTCCTTAAAGAATCTTCTGCACCCTGCTCACTCCCTACCTACTATCCATGCCTCGCCCCACTGCAGTCTGTCCTCCTGGGAATTTACTCACATCATCATCAACAACCACACACTTGATTATTCCGGCCTTGGACTCTCTTATTCCTGGCTACTGCGTCACCATGGTCTTGGGGTCTCCTATAGTGGGACTGCTTTTTCTGTCTTCTTCCTTCATGGGCTCCTAGCCCTTGTCAAAGACATCAATATGATTGTTAGGCAAGTTTCAGAATTATGAACATTTCTCTACGTGAAATGAGAAACCACCCTGGAGGAGAGCAGGAAGGGAGTAGATGTGTGAGGGAGGAGAGTCAGGAGAGGAAGGCAAAGGGCAGGAACGAGGCAATTTCTTTCCGTGGACAAGGCAGTTCTCAATGTGAGACCTAGAGTGGGTAACCATCACCC